TACTATATTTATATTAGCTATGATGATAAGATGCCAGCTACTATAGTGTGTTAACTGTGATGATTAGAGGCCAGCTACTGTATTGTTTTAGCTATGATGATTAGAGGCCAGCTACTATATTTATATTAGCTATGATGATTAGAGACCAGCTACGGTATTGTGTTTTTTTCTATGATGATACATATATGTGAGAGTCAGCTACTATATTTATATTAACCATGATGATAAGAAGCCAGCTACTATTATGTGTTAGCTATGATGATAAGAGGCCAGCTACTGTATTGTGTTAGCTATGATGATAAGATGCCAGCTGCTAAATTGTGTTAGATATGATAATAAGAAGCCAGCTACTATTNTTTGTTAGCTATGATGATAAGAGGCCAGCTACTGTATTGTGTTAAGCTATGATGATACATTAATGTGAGAGAGCAGTTACTATATTTATATTAGCTATGATGATAAGAGGCCAGCTAATATAGTGTGTTAATTATGATGATTTNAACTTCAAACAGATTCAGTTATTTGTTAATCGATGTCTCACCTTCCACGTAATTATCATCGACTTACGCTCCGAAGTACCACCACTCCGCACCAGGATCTTACCTGGAGAGGACACGGTATTGTATTTACCTAAAAACAATGAAGAGTTTAATAGAATTCTGGTTGATAGCATCGGGCAAGCATAAGCAAGGCATCTTGTTGACGTTAACAGATCAACAACTAAAGTTTCTGATGGAATAATTCATAACGTTTTAACAGATAACATTTCAATTTCTGACGAGGATAAAAAGAAGAGCTAAACATAAAGTGGTCATACGTGGGGTATTGACAGAAGGGATAAATAGACGTTAGAGAATACGGAGACTTCTTTCAGTGAGAAAAATATTACCCGTATTCTTTAGAAATAACTTGACATGGCTAGATCAATTATATTGATATCAAAGTCAAAATATGACGACATTATCAAAAGAGAAAAAACCCACGAGAAATTAGACGAATCGATCATCCCACCGGGTACCGATATTAACTCTTAATAAGTCGGAGGATGATGTCACGCCATCTGATATAATGAAAGTCGATAAGTTCAGTGTAGAATCAACCAATCGGGCGGATCGACCCGCCCCCCTCAGACGGAGCATGCGTAGAAAAGCAAAGAGTCAGCGAGGTGGAAAACTTTTTGTAAATACCACGCCTATTCAATTTGAGAACAAAGTGAAAGAAACCAAGCGAAATGGTTGTCATTCACGATATAAAACCTTTACATTTGAACGAAAGTGGACATATGAGGGAGGAAACACTTAAACGAGAAACATAGCAGCACGATATTTTGATGATTTACCTAATTCAATGTCTAAACGAGAAGAAAATGCCATAGAAACTCGAGAAAGTTGAAAAGGACATTGGATGCGGTGGATTTATCTCCGACTAAAAAAGTCAGATATGAAAATAAAGGTGAACAAAATAAGGCACTTAAAGACAGTAATAGACAGAAAGTTTTCACTTGTGATGTGTTTGAGAAGTTATTTCATACGAAAAACAAACTGAAGCACTACATGAAAACTCCTTACCAACAGTTAAGGTGTAATGTACGTGGGAATGTGTTTGACGATGCAAGTAACCTGAGAAGGCACGTGAATAACGTACATAAAAAGTGAAATCACAAATGGCACGTATGCAATAAGACGTTCGGAAGGAAAAATGCCATGAGAGCACACGTGAAAGAGCTATTCGATCATCCCTACCTGAACCCTTCAGGACACCACCACCAATGCGAGATCAGTCGCCGCTGCCGGAACCTTCAGGTGTTCAGTCGCCGCTGCCGGGTCTTCCGGTGTTCAGTCGTCGCTGCAAGGACCTTCCGGTGTTCAGTCACCGCTGCCGGGACCTTCCGGTGTTCAGTCGCCGCTGCCGGGACCCTCCGGTGTGCAGTCGCCGCTGCCGGGACCTTCCGGTGTTCAGTCGCCAGTGTTGGGATCATCTGTGCAAGAAGGACATACTTTTTCGGACGAAGTGAGTTTGGGAGGGAATGCTAATTTCAGAAACATTTTTCCAAATTTCGAGGACAATACTGACATACTGACATGTTTTACTAATTCGAAAACGGAAGTGATGGAAAATGTACAAAATATGTGTGAGAGTTTGAATGGGATCAAATGGTATTTAAACATTCGTACATCATCTGAAAAGGAAGATCGAGAAAGTAAACTAGTGCAGACCACACCACATTTCTTTCTAAAACATACATATTGATGCCAAATGAATCGGGTCTATGACATGATATCAATGACGCTTATCAGAAAATGTTTGCCTCACTGGAGGAATTCGTTCGACAAGGGTCTGCATGGGTACTCAAGAAAATCATCTAGCTGGAAATACACGTTACTCACCTCTGCATGGTTCCTCTTACATACCGACTCCATCGACTTTTCGTACACACTATTTGATCAATATCCTCAATCGTGACGAAAAGTGCTTCTTATGGTCGTTTTGGACGTCTCTCCATCCGGTCAATACCCTACCCGAACGCGTTTTTCTTCTCGTACGAATGCGAATTATATATGACAGGTATCAAGTATCTTGCTCCATCTCTCAAATCAACAAATTTGAAAGACAGAACGATATAGCAGTAAACGTGTTTGGTGTCGAGGATAAAACCGTTTACCCCATGTACGTTTAGTCTGGGTGACATTAGATTCATAGATTCGTTTCAGTTTATGTCTCAGAGCCTAGAGACTCTGACTGAAAATCTTGCCAAAGAGGGTTTGGTGAAATTTAATAACTTCTCCAGAGAATTTTCTGAATCAGAAGCCAAATTGCTTCTCAGAAAAGGTGTATATCCCTACGAGTACGTGGACAACCCCGATCGGTATTTCGAACAAAATCTCCCTCCAAAAGAGAAATTATATAGTTCGTTGAGTCGATCACACGTGTCAGATGCCGTTTACACACATGCGAAGAACGTATGGAAGAAACTGAACATTTTAGACCTCGGTCAGTATCACGATCTCTATCTCAAGACGGACGTGCTACTATTGGCCAGTGTCTTCGAGAACTTCAGAAACATGTGCCTGGAGTATTACGGGTTAGATGCAGCTCACTTCTATACCAGTTCAGGTCTGGCTCGGAGTGCAGCCTGAAAATGACGGTAGTGAGGTTAGAACTCAACAGAGATCCAGACATGTATCTTTTTCTTCGAAAACGGGGTACGAAGTTGTGTTTCATGTAGTATGATCTCTAACAAATACGCTCAATCTAACAATCCTTACATTCCAGAAACGTACGACCTCTCCCAACCACACTCATACATCATGCATACGGATTGGAATAACTTGTACGGGAAGGCCATGTCGAAATCGTTACCCGTGGGAGGGTTTCAATGGGTTGAAAACCCACAAACATTTGACATAACCAAAGTCACCAAAGACGAAGACTTGGGGAACGTACTAGAAGTAGATCTGGAATACCCAGACAAACTCCATGACAGTCATTCCGATTACCCCCTCGCTCTGGAACGAACAAAAATCTCCGACAAAGAATTGTTGTAGTAGTGTCATTATTTGTCATTATTGCTTTTAATATATTTGGAATTATGCTGTATAATTAGATAAAGTGTAAACTGTAATTTCTATATAATATATAGATTGAATGTCAGTTTGTAAAATACGTATTCCACTATTGTAACTTATGTAACTGACTACGGCCAGGTATTGTTTGACATGTTTTAGCTTATGTGATTGTATGAATGTACAATATGTATAGTAATATATTGTATTTCATGTTACAGGGTTTTTACAAGTAATAAACAAAACTAAAAGAAAAAAGAAAAAAAAACAGGAGTTGTCATTTATCCCGGATAAAGACGACTATTACATTATCACCAACCAGTAAACAGCTATGGAAAACTTTACATCCTAACCCCGAATACACCGATGACAAATTACAAGGGTGTGTACCGCCAGAAAAACTGATTCCAACATTAGAACACAAGACGAAATACATCTGTCATTATAGAAATCTACAGTTGTACGTGGAATTGGGTCTGAAAGTCACCAAAATCCACAGAATCCTAGAATTCAAACAAAAGCTTGGTTACGCCCGTATATACTATTCAACACGACCAAAGGAGTCACATGTAAGAACGAGTTCGAGAAAGATTTCTTTAAACTCATGAATAATTCCGTGTTCGGTAAGACGATGGAGAACGTGCGATCTAGAGTCGATATCAAGCTGGCACACACGGACATAAAAATCAAAAAGTACGTGGCTAGAACATCTTTAACGAAGGCTTGGTAGCCATTCAGAACGATAAAGTGAAACAAGTATTGAACACACCCGTTTATGTAGGACAGACCATTCTAGATCTATCGAAATGTATCATGTACGAGTTTTATTACAAGTACCTAAAACCGAGATATGGAGATGGAATAAAGTTACTCATGACGGACACGGACAGTCTTTTGTATCACGTTCAATGCCGAGACGTCTATGACGACATCCGGTCGACCATCGTTGTTACGATACAAAGAACAAAAAGATACCCCGGTATTTCAAGGACGAAACAGGAAGCGAACCCATTGCACAGTATGTAGGAATACGCGCTAACATGTACTCGTCCGACTATGTCGTGCGCAAACGGATAGAAATAGATAATCTTACTGTCCTTTATAACGATATGAACAAAAATCAGGTAGCTAAAGGTATTGCAAAGACGACCGTTAGAGGCGATATAAGGCACGAAATATGTAGGTACTGTTTATTCGAAGACAAAATTAAAATGTGTAAAATGAATTCGATTAGAAGCGATAAACACAAACTGTACGTTTATGCCGTCAACAAGTCGGGTCTGTGTGCCTTCGATGAAAAGCGTTGGGTCTTACCAAATCGGTGTGATACGCTTGAGTTTGGTCATTACAGAATTTCTAAAATAGATTGGCATTTAAAAATGAAACAGAAATGCAGTTTTACAAATATTTATTTCAAATGTACCATCAGACAGATGTCGTCATGAATGATTGTAAAACTCTTCTATTTTTTTTTTTAAACCCTTATGACAAGAAAGTTTTAAGTTTAAAGACAAAATATTTAAAAAAGAAAACTAAATTAAAGTCTACAATATTTTCAATGGATCTTAAGATTGTTGTTTGTATAATGTACTTATAGATGTTTTGTATTCATTTTATTTCTCAATATGAATGTTATTAACCATTACTAAAGTTTATCAAAATAAAATCGTTTGTTCTGTATTTAAGTCAATCCCCCTACACACAAATTCCATTGGTTCATTGTACAAAAACAGCTTCTACTTTACAATAGTATCGTTGTCTCATCAACCTTCTCATATGGTAACGAACTCTACCATATTTTACTTCTACGAAGATGGCTGCAGAGGCCAAGAAGCTGGCTGTGGAGGCTGAGAAGATGGCTGAAGAGGCTGAGGAACTTGTGGTGGAGGAATTGGCAGTTGGGGGCAGACTATTGGAGGAAAAAAGGAACATTTCTCTAATATTTCAAAGATATTACATTAAAAAGATCTTGTGTTATTACTATGACAGTACTAACGTTTATAAGATGTTAGTTTCCCTACAATGTCACCTTTATATTGATCAAGTCCTGATAATCCTCCCACGATAGTGGAAGTTAGTATTTGTTTTGTTTTTTTGGTGATGTGTAGAGAAATCACCTCATGAAATTCTTTCACCGATACCCCGAGCTGTCAGTGAAGCTTAGTTGACAAGGACTATTCCGTCGTTCCATCTGGCGCCAAAGTCTAGAAAGTGTCGGTTAACTGTATTGGCGCGCTTTTTTTTAGAGAAGAACGGCCAATGAAAAACTATGTTTACGGAATGGTTGATTTGTCAATTACATTTTCAATATTTGGAAGGCGTGTTTATTATTTTTTAAGGTGTGATTTTAGTGAAATACGTTGCATAATCGTGATGAAGTCATTATTTTTTCTCTCACACACCCGAAAGTCATCAAAAAAAATGTGTATACAAAAAAATCAATAAAAAATGAGTAGATATATTTAATAATAAAACTTCATTCACACTTGGATTACATTGTTAAACATACATTCCACTATAAATAAGGACACTTTTGCCTTGTCCCTTCAAATGCATATTTAAATGAATATGTAATTATTTTCTAGAGATTATTGAAATGGATATACCTCCTATCACGATGCCAGTCCCTCCTCCAGCATCAGGTAAGTTAGAATTTTAAGTAAGTCTTCACAGTTGATAATTATGATGTTTATTCACTAGTCTTGAATATTGTTTTTAAATGTTGTATTGCATTTTACATCGTAGATGACACTCTAGTGAAGGTTGAGGGAGATGTGGAAGAGGAGGAGAAGGAGAAGGATCCATTTGAGGGTGTATAGAAAATGTTTTTTAATAAGTTGTATTGCTTTAGAATTTGTTTCATATTTCAATACCTTGTGTTAGAGTGAACATTAATTCTAATTTTTCTTTCTAAATTGTAGATTCTAGGGAGGAACTGGAAGAACCCCCACACCACCTCCCCCTACATATCATCAGGTAAGAATATATACAGTAAAATTAATTTGGATTGCTTATTTTATCTGATTAGAATATATGAATGGTTCTGTTAAGCAATTTTTTTATTTAATGTATTGAAAAGAGTTTCTAAAGAATGTTTCTATTTTTTAACTTGTAGTTAAGGTGGATGTGGAGGTGATATACAGAAGCCCCTACCAACTGCGAAGTCAGTTCCTATAATAGATATTTGGTAATATTTTGTGATATTTGTGGAGGTGGACTCCAGAAGTCCCTACCAATTGCGAAGTCCTGTACTATAATATATATTTTGCGATATTTTGTGATATTTTGTGATATTTTATTATAATGTTTTATTGTGATGATTACTGTTTAATCTTTTTATAAATCAAAATACTCAGGGTAAATTGTTTGTCTATTTTTTTAATTCAGTAATGTTTCTTAATTGTGATATTTTTTTTTTTAATTATTTTGTATAGGCATATATTATTCTTTTTATACAAATACACACTCAGGGTAAAGTGTGTCTATTTTTCAGTTCTGTTTTATAACTATATTGTGATGATTTTACTAATGTTTGATTAAAATGTTTATACAAATCATTACTTAAATATTTTTTTGATGATTTCTTGTAACATTATTTTACTGTGATAACTATATCTTTGATCATATGTACGTCATTTTGTGATGTTTTATTGTGATGATTACTGTTTAATCTTTTTATATATATAAAAATGATCAGGGTAAAGTGTGTCTATTTTTAGTTCAGTGATGTTTCTTGTGACGATTTTTTTTTATCTTATCAATAATGTTTAAGATACTATTTTAGTGTAATTATACCAATGTTTAAGATATCTATTTTCATATGATTATTCCAGTGTTTAAGATAACTGTTTCTATCATAAGTTTACATACACAAGGAAATGTTTGCCTTTTTATTTACTGTGCCAAATAGATGTTTAAATCTGAAAACTGTGTTTTTTATTATTCCAATGCAACTTTTAAGAATAGGGTCTGCTCACGCGATTCAGTGACATATACTTAAAGGACTACCAGGCCGTTAATAGTATTAGATTCGTAGTGGTCGAATAAACGTAGAATTGTTTACGTTGACTGGTGCCGGTTTTACAATCCTCCTACATCGACATCAATCCTATTGTTTTGAAATGTAGAAATGTTGCTTTTTACCAAATGGATGCCTTAGATATTTATGATGTTGTGTATGCCGGAGTGAGTAGAGCACTCAAGGGTTAGACTTATTGAAAATGGTTCACGCACTTGATTCAGTTAACAACTTTACCGTGTACTATATAAACGTTACTTGATTAATTTCTGAAGAATTCAGTCGTTATTATCTCTCCCTATTAGCATTAAACGTCAGCTTCACCCACCGACGCGTCTTGTACACCATAGAGGGAGAAAGCATTTGCCCTTTCTCTATCCTCTGCATGATAAAGTGATGCTCCCTTTCATAAACGGGAACATTTATGTCTTCTCCATGTGTTGCAACACAGAGTTTGAGCTCCTTATACAGGGCTGTATGCAGTCCTCATTTGCGAAGCAACAAGATTGCTCGCTGAAACCTTTCTAGACATTTAGGACGTGCTTCACCATCCATGTTTATCTAGAAAGTGAGTAGAATTGTGGCTGTGTATGTTACTTTAAACCTTAGTGTCCTAAGGTAAATAAATATGGATATGGAATGTTTTCACTTATCTTTTTTTTTTCATTTCATAAATAACAAATATCGATTGTGGTTAGATGTGATGGCTTCATCTGCATTTTATCACATGCTGTCATCTTAAGAACATTATTGGAAGTCGGGTCGTGCCATTGGGCTATCATTGTTTCAAGTACAACTTATCAAATACATTCATCTTGATTGAAAAGTTATTCCTACTGCTCCAAGCTGCCATTGTTTCAAGTACATTTTATCCAATACTTTCATAAAATATTCCTACTTTTCCGAGCTACCATTCGCTCGATCCTGCAATATTGGAGATACATGTATATATACGGTTTGAGTTTTCTGTGAATGGCTTACCAAATAATCTAAATGGAATGTTTTTCCTTCGGTAGGATGCCTTCTTAGTTTGATAGGGTGGGCTCAATTGTAAAACTAAATAAAAAATATATATATATACACCTAAAAAAGGGACCTACACAGGGACCGGGAATTAGAACGAACCCCTGAAAAGGGACCTATACATAAAGACCTTTGCATGGGGAACTTTTTATTACCTAACAAAGGGATCTACACACTGGATACCTTATATACAGGAACCTTTTGATTCCCCATACTCCTAATAAAGGGACCTTCACATGGGCGACCTTCACATGGGGGACCTACACACACATGGACTTGGACCTTTTAGAATAAAGGGACTAAACATAGGGTCGTTTACATAGGGACTCTTTATCACCTTACATTCCTAACAAAGGGACCTAAAAGGACCTTCTTTTATTATAAAAGGACAGGGCCCTTTTAATACATGAAGAATACAGTTACTAGTATGTTTTTGCTCTATCCAATTTTTCAATGCGTATTACAAATGTATGGTATTAAATATGTAAAGAATCTGACTTTGTTTCGGTAACAGTTAGTGTGATATCATTAAGATGATTTGCCTGTTGTTGTTTTTTTATTTCGCTTGTTTCGATATATTTTGTTTCTCTCTCAGAAAGTAAACTTCAGCATTTGTACATCTCGGAAAGTTACGAAAGTGCACCGGTCGACGAGGATGTAACAATACAATACTTCTTGTTAAAACAATTTCCATTTATAATAAATTTGACATTTTAACTGAATTTAAATATAAACAGACCAACATATCTAGCTTGATTTAAATATGTCAACGTACCTTTTAATCAAGATTATAGTGTTTTCAAACGGAATAGTATATATTATTAAAACAATTCCTCAATTTAAATCATCCATGATTACCATCGCACAGAGTTTGTCCATCGTGCGAAATGATGAGCACAAACTTAAATCGCCCAGTATTTCATCTTTCGCGCATATTGCACAAATCCCTAGAAAATTTGGTTTGATTATTTCTTCAGTAAGCGGATACACTCCGTGAGTTTCGTATTAGCTGCGACATATACAAAGTACAGGTAGGGAAAGCAGGGATACTTTTATCAAAGAGGGGAAAGTTCACAATCTTAAAATGTAGTCTTGTAGATTTCAGGTTGTGGTGGTTATATAAAATCGACGAGTTCAATAGATTTCTTGCTATTCTACGACGATATATCATCTATAAATCTGAACTAGGGAGAGAAGGTAATAAAAAGGCAGCTTACACTTTACATGTTATACTGTGGTTGTTTTGGGGGAACGCCAGATGGACCATTCGGCATTTCCGGTACGAAAATCTGTCAGAAATAATAAGTATACATTATATAAACACACGTAGAAATATTAAGTAAATATGTAAGTAAATTATGCTGTTGATATGTTTTGCAAAATGATAATAACTATTCTGTTGCATAAACATGCATTTATCCACTTAATTTGACATATATGAAATGGGATTATAATTGATTTACTTATCGATGCCATAACAGATCTTATACTTGGGGCAAAACAATTGCATCTTTAACATAATGGACACATATGGGTTGATGATATTGAAGATAAAACTGCAGAAATCCTCATAAGGTGACAGTAAAAAAGAACAAGCTTCACTAAAACTGATTTAACGTCTCCTGCTTGATCGACGACACCAGCCAAATAAATGAAATTCAAATCCAAATCATCACAAGAAATAGCTGTTGCTTATAGCGCACAAATCGTGCGTATATCAAGATGGGTATGCACAATCGTGTGATTTAGTAATCGTTTTCACTGTAGGCGTATATATCCGCACATACATGTTCGTGCGATTTAGTGCAATTGATTTTGTTAAATTTACGGATTGATACAATTCTGAATGAATATAAAAATAATGTATATGGTAGATGTGCAATTTTCGGTAAGTATGTGTTGCTCTATCCCATTTTTCAATGCGTATTACACATTTACGGTATTAAATATGTAAAGAATTGGACTTTGTTTAGGTAACAGTTAGTTTGATAACATAAGGATGATTCTCATGTTTTTTGTTTTTTTTTCGTTTGTTTCGATCTATTCTGTTTATCTCTCAGAAAATCTACTGCGGCATTTGTACATCTCGGAAAGTTACGAAAGTGCACCAGATCTAGCTTGGTTTAAATATGTCAACGTACCTCTCAATCAATATGATAATGTTTTTAAACGCAAAAAGTATCTATTGATGAAACGATTCCTTTATTTTTATCATCCATGATTGCCATCGCACACAGTTTGTCCATCATGCGCAAAGATGTGCGCAAACTTAAATCGACCAGTATTTCATCGTTCGCGCATAGTGCACAAATCCCTAGTTAACGTGATGTGTTTTTTTCCTTGAGTATGCGGTATCTAACACTAGAGATTCTTCTATTCGGATCCACTCCGTGAATTTCGAATCAGCAGCGACATATACATAGTAGAGTTAGGAAAAGGGGGGATACTTTTATCAAACAGGGGAAAGTTCACAATCTTAAAATGTTGGTTATGTTGATTTCAGGTTGTGGTAGTTATAAGAAATAAACGAGTTCAGTAGATTTCTTGTTATTCTACGCGACATAATATCTATCAATCTAAAAATGTAAGAGAAGGCAATAAAAAGGCAACTTACCACCGGTTGCGGAGTTTCAGGTTTAGGCTTTTCATCTCCCAGAAAATGCTGAAATAATAAGGATAAATTATATAAACACTCGTAGAAATATTTAAGTAAATATGTTAATCAATCATGCTGTTGATTTGTTTTGCAAAATGATAGTCACACCTCTGTTGCATAAATGTGCATTTACCTATTTAATTTTCATATATGAAATGAGATTAAAATTGATTTTCTTACCGATGCCATAACAGTTTTTATACTTGAGGCAAAATAATTACATCTTTAACATAATGTACACATATGAGTTGATGATATTGAAGACAAAATTGCAGGAATCCTGAGAAGGTGATAGTCAAGCAGGACAAGCTTCACTAAAACTGATTTAGCGCCTCCTGCTAGATCGACGACACCAGCCAAATAAATGAAATTCAAATCCAAATCATGTTGCATTACCCGAAAGAAACAATGCATTTTCTTTCCAATCACATTGAACACAAATTGATATTTTAAAATTACCGATATTCATATCGTATCAGATATGAATGTGTAACTGCACAAAGCACAAAAAATAGTTTTTGCATATAGTGCACAAATCGTGCGCATATCACTATGTGTATGCACAATCGTGTGATTTTGTAATCGTTATCCCTGTAGGCGCATATATCCGCACATGCATGTATATGCGATTTAGTGCAATTGGTTCATTAATTTTACGGATTGATAAAAATCTGATTTTTCTTAAAATATCGAACATGGTGGATATGTAATTTTCGGTAAGTATGTTATGCTGTATCCAATTTTTCAATGGGTATTACACATGTACGGTATAAAATATGTACAGAAATTGACTTTGTTTAGGTAACAGTTAGTGTGATAGCATTAGGATGATTGGCCTGTCTTTTTATTTCGTTTGTTTGGACTTATTTTGTTTCTCTCTCAGAAAGTCTGCGGCCTTTGTACATCTCGGAAAGTTACGAAAGTGCACCGGTCGACGAGGAGAAACCCACATGTAAGAAAACAATACTTCTTTTTCCAATAATTCAGTATGTGATATCTTATACAGGTTTCTTCTATTCGGATCCATATACATAGTAAAGGTAGAGAAAGCAGGGATACTTTTATCAAAAAGGAGAAAGTTCACGACCTTAAAATGCTTTTAGGCTAAAAATCGGTTGGCGGAACTGAGAAGTAGGTATCGGCTGTTGATATCCTTGAAACTGAATTGATAAATAGAAATGATATAAACACATCGTAGAAATATTTGAGTAGATATAAGATAATAACACTTCTGTTGCATAAACGTGCATTTATCCATTTGATTTTCTAATAATTGAGGCGAAGTAGGTATATCTCTAATATGATATACACCTATGGGTCAATAATATTGAGGACAAAAAAAACGTGTGCATATAGTACACAGTGTGTGCGTACATCACGATTGGTATGAACAATCGTGCGATTTAATATCTCCCCGTTTTGGACTTATGTCAGCATATATGTGCGATTTAGTGCAATCGGTGAATTAGTTTTACGGTTTGAAAATAATGTATATTATAGATATGTAATATCCTGTTAGTATATTTAGCTGTATATCCATTTTTCAATGCGTATTACACACGTACATTAGTAATCATGTGAAAAAATGGCCATGTTAAGCACAACTGGAACTTACATGTTTGTTTATTTCGTCTGTGTCGATCTACCTAATCTCTCTCTTTTAGAAATCTGTGGCATTTGTACAACTAAGACTGTAACGTAAATGCCTGTGTCGACCGCCCCCCCCTCCCCCCTTTTGTTTACATGTATATCTTTACATGTAAGGGACCGTACCGATGTGACTATTTACTAATTACAAATTGTTTTCAAATATGTCCTTTATGAATTAACATGACATTTTTATCTGAATAATATTCCGGTACAGCACTAGATCTAGCTCAGATATGTTACCGTACCTTCAGATCAAGATTATGGTGTTTTATATCATAATCGAATAAATTGTGTAAGCCATTCCTCTATTTGTATCATCCATGACTGCCATCGCATACCGTTCGTTCATCGTGCGCAAAGATGTGCGCAAAAATTAATCGCCCGATATTTCGTCTTTTGCACATGGTGTTCAAATCCTTAGAAAACCTGGTTTGTGATTTTGTTCTTCAGTATACGATATCTTACACGGGATTCGTCTATTCGGAACCACTCCGTGAGTATAGAATCAGCTGCTTACTATACATAGTGCAGGTGGGAAAACAGGGATACTTTCATCAAAAAGGGAAAATATCACGTTCTCCAAATGTAGATTTCAGATTGTGGTGGTTATATACAATGGACGAGTTAAATAGAGTTCTTGTTATTCTATGACATATTTCTATCTAAATATCTATAAATCTACAATTTGAAGAGAAACCAATCAAAAGGTAACTGATACTTACATAGAGACGCAGTGGTTGATATTGATATTTTCCATCAGACGATATGGTGCATTGATGTGACTGATTCTGACAGAAATGATAAATATAAATCATATTAACACATCGTAGATACATTTGAGTAGATACCCTACTTAATTATGCCGTTGATATGTTTTTCAGAATGATAATAACACTTCTGTTGCATAAACGTGCATTTATCCATTTGATTTTCTTTCCGATGTCATAAGAGTTCTAATAATTGAGGCGAAATAGGTATATCTCTAACATGCTATACACCTATGGGTCAATGGCATTGAGGACAAAAATGCGTGTGCATATAGTACGCAATGTGTGCGTACATTACGATTGGTACAAACAATCTTGCGATTTAACATCTCCTCGTTGTGGGTTTATGTCAGCAGATATGTGCGATTTAGTGCAATTGGTTAATTATTTTTACGGTTTAAAAATAATGTACATAATTTATATGTTATATACTGTTTGTATATTTAGCGGTATATCCATTTTTTAATGCGTCTTATACACGTACAGAAGTAATCATGTATAAAATGGCCTATTCTGTAAGATAACAATTAAGTGAAAAGCATGAGGATGGTTTGCCTGGCCTGTGTCGGACACAGAGAGTTGATTTGTGATATACCGTATGTTATGTTAAGCATAACTGGAACTTACATGTTCGGTTTATTTCTTTGTATCGATCTATTTAATCTCTTTCTGTTATACCATTACACCGACCCCCCCCCCCCTCTGTAAGTAAACAAGGCGGCTATGTTTACATGTATATATGTAAGGGACCGTAACGATGTGACTAATTATTAATTACAATTTATTTTCAAATATGTCCTAAATGGATTAACATGACATTTTTAACTGAATAATATTCCGATACAGCACAAGATATGTTAACGTACCTTCAAATCAAGATTATGGTGTTTTATATCGAAATCGAATATATTGTGCACGCCATTCCTCTATTCGTATCATTCATGACTGCCATCGCATACCGTTCGTTCATCATGTGTGCAGAGATGTGCGCAAAAGTTAATCGCCCGGTTATTCGGCTTTTGTACAAGGTGTGCAAATCCTTAGAAAATAGGTATATCACTAACATGATATATGGGTCAATGATATTGAGGATGAAAGCAGCCTGTGGATATATTACACAATGTGTGCGTACGAAACGGCAGCAGAGGATATGGTATGACTGGTAAATAGAAATAATTTAAACACTTGTAGAAATAATTTAATAGATATGTTAATCAATCATGCTGTTGATATGTTGTCCAAAATTATAAGAACACTTTTGCTACATAAACATGCATGTATCCATGTTATCTTACACATACTAAACGAACACATATTATTGTCTTACCGATGCCATGACGGTTCTAATGCTTTAGGCAAAAAAAGTGAATCGTCAACAAGATATACAGCTATTGGTCGCTGAGTTTGAGGACAAAACTGCAAGAAACCTGAAATAAAAAAAAGACATTAAATGAAGAAAAAGGTTCACTAAAATGGTTCAGCGGCTCCTGTTTCATCGACGACACCCGCCAAGTTAATGAAATTTCAATCCAAATAATGTTGCATTACTCGAAAGAAAAATGGCATTTGCATTCAAATCACATTGAACACTTATCAATATTGAGAAAATGTCGATATTCATAATGTACCAGATGATGATGTGCGGCAGCGCAACACACCAACAAGTGCCTGTTACTAAATTGTTTAATGCAATACTCTCTTATGCTGTCATTATTTCTTTTTGAAGCTTTGAAGTCACGAACAAGATTGTTGTCCTTCCACAAAGGAAAGGGCATCAGACAGTAATGAAAAATAAAACAATGCATCTAATGATTTCTTCACATAGGTTTATTTGTTATTATAAATTTCAACAGTTCAAATATACCTGTACATACCTTCAAAACTACAATTGAACGTTCCTAAACCAAATTAGCTTGTCGTTTTCTGAATTATTATTATACCTAATTCTAGAAAAAAAACGTACAACTTATATAATTCAAAGTAGCGATCATCTTCAGTAAACATATAAACAAAAATACTTATCACATGAAATATGTATGTATTGACACTAGTGTTACAGATTGATAGTATTTTTAATTGACAGGTGGTCTTTACAGACAGGCCGATATTAACTGGTAGTTAGGGCTATGTGCTATAGAGAGCTATATTCATTAAGACAGGTTACATTCATTCCAATCAATAGTGAGAGCACTGAGAGGTCAGCAGGGTCCTGTCATGTGTCTGACCGTCACCCCATTGGTTTATTTTAAGTAACACTGACCTTGACCTTGACATCAGAAAATTGAAAAACGCCTTGTGCACATCTTCATTTCACAGTATATCACCATGTCCAAATTCAAAAAGATAAGACTTTTTGATTCCGATTATTCCCAAGTTTTTTTTGGGAATAACAGTTACCTTGACGTTGGCCACAAAATGTTTTAAACCCTTATTGCACATCTGTATTACACAGTGTTTCACCATGTCAAATGTCAGACAGATTATAATGTCTTTCGGATTCCAATATTATATTGGGAAACGAAAGTGTGGACAGACAGACATACATAATGGTTTAATATTTTTCTTCCACATATGGAATTCAGTAAAAAATGATAAGCAAATGTATTTGTATGTTTAAAAAAAATACAAACACAATTTGTTTTAAAAGAACAGTAAAAAACTTTAAAATACCATCAGTATTCATTAAAATAAAATGTTTCGAAAAGCTTCTCAGCAAATTTGTTTTAAAATGGTATATTTCCTAGAGGCAATTCAGATGGCGGTCGATATTCTTCCGCTGAGCAAACTGTCAATTCAATAACGTCACGTATCATATCGACGCCACGTTCAATTACCCGAACCGATACAGTACTAACCATTTCTTATGTTTGTTTCTATGAAATCGTAAATAACTAGAACAACAATGTTTTTCTCTAGCTGTACTTATGTGGGATGAGAGATATGCCACAAAGATTGTTCACATGGGGAACTTATTAAAGAGTGCTTTTAAATTAAATAACCCATCATTATTTTTGTGCTCACGAACATTTTATAAACAAAAAGTTATATAAATTCGATTCGACTCCATATTTAATTATTTACTAGTGTTATAATTTAATTGAAACAACGAAAAAGCTCTATTGAAGTTGTAAAACTTCATAGTCCGTTAATGACACAATACAGATATTATAAAACTAACTGATATATTACTGAATGTCTAAAGGTTCGTGGTTTCAGAAAGCTCAATACTATGATTTAAACACGTTTGGTTATTTCCCCAATACTCCTACCGTTTCTAAAAAAATATTTGTTATTTCTCAATACTTCATAGCGAGATGACATNTACAAACTAATATAACCCAGGCCCAGCTGATTCTCTAAATAACAACTTAAGTGCATTTTATCATGATAATATTACAATATGTCATGTAAATGTTTGTTCTTTAAGAAACAAGACCGATGTTATTGAAAGCGAATTCTCAGATACTGATAAAATATGTTTAACTGAAACTAATTTAAATAAAAATATTGCTGATACTGATATCCTCCTAGATGACCACAAAGTTATATTTAGAAAAGACAGAGAAACACACAGGGGTGGAGGAGTGGTAGTTTATGTGAAAGATTATCTGTATGCTAAAAGAAGAAAAGACTTAGAAATTGATGGAATAGAAACCCTATGGCTGGAAGTTAAAATCGATGAAAAAACGTTCTTAGTTGGATGCATATATAGACCACCGAGTTCTTTAGTAGATTACTGGAATATTTTTGATAATATGTTAGAAAAAGTTATTGAGTTAAATAAGGACTTGATACTTATAGCCGATATTAATCAAGATATGCTTAACCTTACTCCAAACTCTAGACTTTCAAGAATAATGACCAAATACGATTTAAAAAATCACATATATGAGCCAACTAGGGTTACTGCAAGCTCATCTACTAGTATTGATGTCATTATGTCAAATAACTGTAATATAGTCAAAAAATGTTGAAGTAAATGTACCCTTTTGTAGTGATCACTGCCCAACTAGAGCAGAAATAACATATAAAACTTGGAAACAAAAATGTTATAAAAAAAATGTATTGTATTATAAGAATGCAGATTTTGTGAGAGCAAATGAATATCTATTATCTATTGACTGGGAGGACACATTATCTCAGTTACATGTAGAAAATATGAATGAATATCTCACACAAGAAATACATGAATGCATAGATAAATTTGTACCCCATAAAACCGTAACTGTAAGACCGAAAGACAAACCCTGGTTTAACAATGAAATCAGACTTAAAATTAGACAAAGAAATAGACAACACAAAAAAGCTAAACAAAACAATACTGAGATAGCATGGAGTACATTTAGGCATTTACGAAATGAGGTCATTACGCTAGTCAGAAAAGCAAAGGGAATATATCTTGAAAAACTCCAAAACTCGCTTTCTGATCAATCTATTCCTAAAGATAAATGGTGGAAAATTGCAAAAAAAGTCTTAAATATCAACAATAAAAGTAATGACAAATCACCATTAAAAGAAAATGGCAAGATAATAACTCATCCTGTAGAGAAAGCTGAAGTACTAAACAAATATTTTGCTACTACATTTTTATCTCAACTTCAAATAAAACAGATGATGATGTCACACCACTAACTGAATTTCCACCATTTACCTTTAGTAATACCATTATTACAGAGCAAGATATCAAAGATCAGCTCCATTTAATAAATACCAATAAATCAGCAGGTCCAGATGATATTTCCCCCTACTTTATAAAGGGAATATCTGAATCTCTAGTTAAACCCTTATTAATATTATTTAATAAATCAATAGAGTCGAGTTGCCTCCCTTACACCTGGAAATGTGCTAATGTTGTCCCTATATATAAAGGTAAAGGTCAAAAGTGTGATCCACCCCAATATTTATAAAAATGTTAGAAAAAATCATTTTTAAATACTTATACAATTATCTGTCTTTAAATGTTATAATATCAAAAAATCAATCAGGTTTCTTACCTAAAGACTCTACAGTTAATCAACGTATGTCACTGTATAATACTATAGTAAGTCAGCTGGATGAAGGAAATGAAATAAGGCTAGTTTTTTGTGACATAAGTAAGGCATTTGACAGGGTGTGGCATAGAGGATTAATACACAAATTGGAGAAATATGGAACTAAGAATAATATGTTGGGGTGGTTCAAAAATTATATCAGAGATAGAAAACAAAGAGTAATATATGATGGTTTCCATTCTACTTGGCAAATATTGAAAGCAGGGGTACCTCAGGGCTCGGTCCTAGGACCATGCTTATTTCTTTTGTATATTAATGATCTGGAAAATGAGATAGAATGTAATATAACATTATTTGCTGATGATACTTCATTATACATAATAATAGACAATAAGCATCAGCAAGCAGCAAACAGTCTGAATGAAGATCTACGCAAAATATCAAAATGGGCAAATGATTGGGGTATACTTTTCAACCCAGATAAAACTGAATCTTTAATAGTATCTAAGAAAATTACTGCAGATAACCTACATCCACACCTAGTATTTAATAATACTCGGGTAAGTAATATTACAAATCACAAACATCTAGGGGTTTACTTAAATGAACAGGGTAACTGGACACATCATATAAACTTTATTTTTGAAAAGGCATCTAAAAGAGTAAATGTTCTAAGAATGTTAAAATATAAAATCTGTAGAAAGGCACTTGAAATATTGTATACTACACTTATCAGACCTATTCTAGAGTATGCTTGTGTTATATGGGATAACTGTACAAAACAAGAAAAAGATCTCTTGGAATCTATCCAGCTTGATGTTATCAGGATAATTACTGGTCTAAGAAAAGGCACTAGCCACTGTATATTATATAAAGAAATAGGGTGGGAAAGTTTACAGAATAGGAGGGATAAACATAAACACATCTTCTTCTTTAAAATAACAAACAAAATAACCCCAAATTATCTACATGAAATTATTCAACCATATATATTAAACCCAGAAGAAAATACATACAATCTTAGGCACTCAAGAATTTTCAATGAGCCCCTTCCTAGAACCACACTATATGCTAATAGTTTTTTTCCCAGTATGATGAACATATGGAACAGTGCCAATAATAACCTTACTAATATTACAAATATTATTACTTTTAAAAGGGAAATACAAAAGGTAATTGTAGGGGACACAGAACAAAATGTATGTACACCTGTATTTAAATACTCTGGTTCACGAAAAAGTAATATATTAATGTGTCAATTAAGAAATGGTGCTAGTCAACTAAACTATGATCTGTTTAAAGATCACTTGAAAAATAGTCCAAACTGTCCTTGTAGTCATGCAATTGAAAACTCTTATCATTTCTTTTTTGAATGTCCTCTCTATACAGAAGACCGACAAACTTTTATGCAGGATCTTATATTAAATGATAAAGATTTCCATAATACAATACCTTTAAGTACTATTCTAAATGGAAACACTAGTAATAGTGATTTACTGAACAATCAATCGATGGAGTGTGTGCATAAATACATTAATGCTACAGGACGGTTTAAATAGATAAATATACAAGCTGTATGTGGTTGGTGTATTCTTTGTATTCTGTAAGATAAATTCATTATTTCTGTTGATAGTGGATAATGAATATATACATTTTCATATAATATACCAAGGTTGATTGATCACAGGGCAACAAATGTCCAGGGACTTTATGTGGTCATGACACTTGGGGTATGATGGAGTAATGTAAATCAATAGTTATAATTTATTTAATTATTGAAAAACTAATAATTTATTATGAAATACCAAAATGCCCCATATTTGTATCCTGTGAACTAGTGTACTTTGTTATCATAGTTAATGCCCAACTGCACATTAATTTCAAACAAATATAAACTGCATTAAATATACCAACAAACCCATGCCTGTAGATACAAATGTGGTGTTAGAGTGTATGAGTGAGTGATTGAGATTATTTTG